CCCCCCCCCCCTTATCACCCGAATGGATCCACGCCTGGCCACTGCCCACTATTCTGGCAGTGGATTCATCGGCCGAGAGCGAGACCGGCCCGCTGGCGGCTTCCTGGGCTCGCCTGAGTTGGGGTGACCAGCTGTGGGTCAACGTGTCGAGCACAACGTGTCCACGTCCTCTCCCAGGGAAGGGAGACCGTCCGACAGGGCGGCATGCACGTAGGCGAGTATAGAGCCCCGGAAGCGCTTGTCAAAAGCGGGTTCACAAAACACGCCGATAGAGTAAGGCGGTGGCAACATTTACACAAAACGAGGGTGGCGAGCTCCCCGCACTCCAGGAGTTTACAGCATAGGGCCTTGGCAAGGGCAAGCCCGTGCGCGGAAAACTACCGGCAAACACACACTTCCCGATGGCCGATTGATAATATGCGCTTGCTCGGGCGATAACGCGGCTGGCTTGCACGACTTGAGCAGCACCGCTGCCGTGCACTCTGGCGAGGGCGTTCACCACCCAAAAAGGCCCGTCGGGTTGAGGAAGTGCGACCGATGCGTAAGGGCAGGACCGGGCAGGACAGCCGACCGGGCGGCGGGTCAGATCGTCCCCGCACGCGAGCCTCGCGCAGCCCAGCCCGGTTATCAACATCCCATAAATTGTACATTGCCCGTCTGCGGCGGACAGACCGGTCATGCCTGACACCGAGTACACTGCCACGACAGAGGGTCACGAAACGAAACATTGAGGAAATAACATTTTGAAGATAGCAACAAAGATCCAGGAAATTATGAATTTTTGAAAAAAATGTACATGAGCGTGCTACAATTTCGATAGTTAGCGGTACAGGTTCTTTCTTTCTTTTTTTCAATCTCTCAGAGGCGAACCACTTCTCCCGCCCGGCGTCACCACTCGTCGGCATCACGTCACAGAGCGGCCTGCGCGGTGCGGCGGCGTGGCGATGGTGGATTCGCCACCAGGGTCACTGTCAGTCGCCGCGCCACGCTACGCCACGCCACCACTCAGCGAGGATATCAACGCGGTCGCCCACCGCGCTGCTGTGTCCCGCTCACGGTCGCGCCGCCACCCTGACGGCCCGTCCTTCGGACACCCTGGACACCTACCATGTCGTACTCCTCGGGGTCGGCCACCATGCCCTTGAGCTGGTAGCGGATGCCCTCCTTGGCGAGGCGGCCGGCGAACTCCTCGCCGGTGCCGGTCTGGCTGCCGTAGAACGCGACGAGCGAACGCCCGGACGTCTTCAGCTTCTTGAGGAACGAGTTGTCGGTGGTCTGGGTCGTCATCGAGGTTGGCCTGTACGAAAAAAAAAAGCGGAACACACGACTGATAAAACCATCCGATAGGGACCCGGGACGACTCTCGGTGTTGCCAGAAAAGTAGGCAAACAACACGCAACAGTGTGGAGCGGGGCAGTGTGTATACACGCCTGCATACCCGGGACACACGTGCCAAGGTTTTGCCTAGTAGGCGGGGCGGGTTGAGCTGCAGCCTGCTCGACAGAGCTGTGCATTGGGCGGTTTTTATGCCTTCTTTCCCGCGAGTCGCGCCTCGGAACTCCTTGCGCATTACTCGGTCGTTACGTGGTTGTTACGCACACCGTGCGCCGCAGTATGCGGTGGGTTTGCAGCTACCACATCCCCATCCCCGTCCGATAAGACGCGATTGGCTAGGTTCTTGCCAGACGCTTTTTTTAAACGCACCCACACAGCGACACTTTGGGAGGTGGACCCCCCTTTTTTTTGGCCAGCCTTAAGTTGCCGGTGATAGTTTATAAGAACTGACGTCTTCACCCTCATTGAAGTTGAAGTCTCCCAGAGCATCATTATCTTAATTCCCCTTACCCGAACACGCCATGTTTTCATGTCAACTTACTGCAGTGAGTACGACTTGTGCGCGGCCGCCTGCTCCGCCTGCTTCTTCTTGTTGCTCAGCACCCACCAGACGCCGAAGGCGGCGAGCGCCACCAGGATCACGATGTCGAGGAGGCCGAACCACGCCTCGGCCTCGGGCTCCGCTTCCATGACGGTTTCAATAGGGTCCGACATTCTAGAAAAGGAGAAACAAAAAGAAAAGAAAGCGTGTTATTGAGATTTCCAAAGACAGTTGTCATTTGAATACACGTGCAGCTCGTTCCTTGTTCACACACTTTCATTTGTAAAGAGGCCTGGCCGGGCGTGATGCAAGCGCATCCTGCACACCCCGAGCACAGACGACTCGCGACATGCACCACGGCGCGTTAGACTTTGACCGACCGAGGGCAGAGCAGACACAGGGGGTCGCACTCGGTCGTCTGGCGTCGACTGGCCACGGGAAACTTAGACTCGCAACAGGACATGTTGAGCCGGTGTACAAGGAAGCTTTGCGGCGTTTTATCGGGGCGTCAACCCGGTGAGATGAAATAAAAAGTGGCAAATTTTTCTATCTTTTCACGGCCACGCCACAAGCTTGAAAAAAGAGTATGGTGTGAAAATCAAGTGGCTGCAGAAGCAAGGCCAAGACAAGGACCAACTCTAGCGATGCCTTTGGCCTACATTCAAGGCGAAACTTTCGCGCCATAAGTTTGAATCAAAGATTTCTGCTGTAGGTGGCTATAGCTGTTGGGTGAGTTTGGCTTGGCACCTAGCTCTCCGACGTGCGGTCTTCAAACAGCCCAGTGGTCCGTAGCAGAGCTATTATAGATTCAAATTGGTGGCGCTAAAATACCACGTTGAATGGGACAGCGCAAATTGGAAGTTTTTCCTAGAAACAGGCGTGTTTTGTCCCTAAAACAAAGTCCAAAATATTCCCCAAGCAATCTTTGACAATCTGGTGTACTAAAGAGAAAACTATCCACTATCGTGTTTCAGTTTGCTAGTTTGGCGTATCATCCGCTAAAAATACGCGTCAGAAAGCGGCAGCAGCAGAAACAGCGCGAAGGAAAGCAAAATATACACGAACGCGAAACAGAGGCGCCGCCGGCTGGGCGGCCAGCGAGCGGGGGTCCTCTCAGACCAGCAGCAGCGGGCTCTGCGCGACCTTGGCCGGGTCGGGTCGGGCCTCACCGCGGCTGCCCGCCCAGCCCAGCCCGCCACTTGACCAAGCGCGCCACGCCACCGCACCATGCATCGTACGCCGCAGGTCCTATAGACTTACACGTCATTCGCTAATTGTATTATATATATGTTGTCGCCCACCCCGAGCGGCACAGTGCGACCCGCTTCCTGCCCAACCAACCCTCACCTCACGGATGAGCCGAGGGGTTCAGTTCGTAGTTCGCTAAAAATTCAAGGGAAGTACCCCTCGGGATGGGCGGTCATGGGAGAGCCACGCCACGCCATGGCCCCGGTGTTTCACGCACGCACGACATAGGAAACAGCGCGACGACAAACGAACCGGCCGCCTCAAAAGAATTGTCTTCGACTTCAAGCGCCGAGTCCGGCGGAAAAAGACCACAATCCAAAGTCATTCGCGCGCGCATTTGAAATGCAAAAATGAAAGGGGAGGGAGTGAGAGGGGGAAGCCGTCACGGACGGTTCGGTAGCGTAAGGACAAACCGTCCGCGACCGATTTTTATCGACACATCATCCGCAGTTATTTTCGCCCGATCATCGTGAAAAGCACGATGCTCATTCTATTGTGGGGGGAGGGGGG